ACAAAGTTAATGGAGCAAGCAGTAAAATCAATAAAGCTGAATTGGTTAAATACTGTAAAGAAACTCTAGCTAAAAAACCTGAATTACTGGATGATACTTATGATCTTCCAAATGCCAATGCTAATAATCAAGAGTGATTAGATTGATTCTTTACTAGAGACCCTGAAATAGTGGTAGAGACTATTGCTTTACAGGAATTAGAAGTGGATAGTAAGCTTAAAGAACAAATCTTAGCAGAGATGAAAAATTATAAAGATAGTAAAGATAATCTAATCTTATTAGATCGATCCATTTATGGAAATGGGGAAGAATTTACCGAAGAAGGAATTGTTAAATACTATGCTGAAAAGTTAGGAGGTCAAAATCATGCTAAGAAGAAGTATGAAAAGCACTTTGATGATAATAAACAAGAAGGTTTTTGAAGAAGTAATAATCCTTCAGCTTGAGTAAGTGGAATTGCTTTGTTTCTATTAAGTGGAACAGTTATTTGAGCTGTTTGAAAAAGAAAAAACCTTGCTCAATGATGAAACTCCCCTGCTGAACTAGAAGAAGAAGATGATGATGAAGAGGATAATGATTAATAATGATTTGATTGTTTATTCTACCAGTCTTCTTTTCGTTCTTGGTTCATCATGTGTTTGTGTTGGTGTTATTGTTCATTTAGTAGTTATGATTTTCTGTTCCTCTTGATAAATTTCATAAGTGATTTTTTCTTGATCTAGATATTCCTGGAGTGTTTGGGTATCATTGATTTTTTGAAAATATATGGAGCAATTTTCTCTCCTTGAGCTTTTTTTAGAATGCTTCTAATGGTACTGTAATTCTTGAGTTCCATGGTCGATTTAATGTAAATTAGTTTCATATACTTTATTTTTATATATAGAGGTAATCCTATATTCATCACATTATGATTTATATTCCTCACATTTTGGTATGATAAAGTGAGAATTAAAATTAACAAGTCTATAAGTTATGAATAAGCACTGTTATTACTTTTTAAAATGTCATTAGTATTAGCCAAATTAGTTTACTTTCAGCCACACCAGCCTCTTATTTCAGAATGTTCACTTTGTCTGGTTTTGTTGCAGCACGCCCCATATTATCCAGTCATGATAATACAGAATTTTTAAAGGAATCTCCACTCTTACTAATGAAAACAAATCAGTCGACAGCGGAAAATACAATTTGGATAATGCGCAGACTCCCACCCGGCGTCTATTCATTGCAAGTACTGACAGGATTGCCGAAAATTTAAAGATCGTCGTATTAATTATACCACGAATCATAAATGATTTCCATAAAAGTACTGCTAAGCTCGGAGCCATACCACGACCCAGTCAGCCGAAACACCCCCATCCCAACCGCTCGATTGTTATAATAAAGGGAGGACTACTCCCTTCCAAAAATTGCTTCCCGACCCCCCGAGGGCGGTCGTGAAGACGGGTTATTGGTTTAGTTTGCAATTAGCAATAATCTGGCCTCGGATTGCTCCTCACTGGCGCAGATAATGCCCGTGCACAAAGATAAGGATTATGGAAAGATTTATGGACATATTTATATCTATCGGCATGTTAGGGGCATGCTTATGGGATCGGAGCAGCAATAGCGATTTGATTGGGCGAAATTGGGCGTAAATTAGACCAACTTCGCCATATAAGTCTGCGGTTCAGGCCCGCCCGGAAATCCCGTGACCATAAATTTGGAACTTGCCACTTTTTCCGCTAAACGTCTGTTCATTATGGACACATTCAGCGAATTAGCGGTTTTACAGACCAAGGTGCAGAGAGATTCTGCATATAGTAAAAACTATGCAGAAATGCTTGAATTAGTTAATGAGCTAAACGAAAGACTACGACTTGCAGCCGAGCAAGGCGAACAACGGCATGTAGACAGACATTTACAACGAGGACAGCTTTTAGGTACTATTAAAAAAAATTGAGAACGACCTTGGATAGAGCGATATAATGTCAAATATTGACAAGCTGCGATAAACTAAGTCTGATGTTTTGGATTTTCGACATGAAAAGCCCGCGATAGAGTGGAATTGTTACTCGATGAGGATTCGCCATTTTTTGAACTTTGTCCCCTTGCTGGTTGGGGTCGCGATCGTATGACACTTGGGGGATCTGTTGTTGCTGGTATTGGACTTGTCTGGTATTTATCGTTTAGCTCTCCTTTTGCTTGGATATACGTGTTTCCATTCACATGGAATTTATACAACCACCATCATGGGCTGCTATATTATAATTACATCAGCGGCGTCGAGTGTATGATCACTGCCAATGTGCCTACGATGCACGGCGGTTCTTCTAATGAAGTTAGTGTCTCTAAAGCTGCGCGAATAAATGCGATTGCTTGGGAAAACCGGCTTCCCCTGATTCAATTGATTCAGACGGTAAGTCACGTTCGGTTTTGGTGGTAGACACAAAATCATTATGAGTATTATATGTATTACTTGCAAATTTTTGAAAATTTTTACTTTAACCAGTTGGACTGATATGATAATTACGTTGTATAGGGCGGAGCAAGGCTGGATCAACAATCACAAGTATATCATCCTGGTGGGGCACAATTCAGACATCTTGCTGAAAGGTGTGTTGCGGTTTCCAATCGTATTGGTACACACGAATGAGCCAACGTATTGAGGATCTATCAGTACAAGTGAGCGTGAACTCATCTTTATTTCTTCATCTCAACGATGAATACGAGAAATAGACTCAATCCAAATTGTTGATTGGAGGAACTTTTTTTACCCGGATTATAGTAGCTAATCTATATATACTTTTTATAGATCCAAAGCTGGGTTGCCTACCTGTAGTGTAGTCTTTGGGAGTTCGACAGCTGGTGGTGCATATTCACCGGGCATGAGCGACTATGTTATTATGGTGAAGGTATGCAAAACGTTGATATTTTTTATGTGAAAATTGAGATGCTTTCTTACTTAAAATAACAACATCCAAAGACAACTATCCCATTATCTGTCAATGGGTAGGTAATATTGAACGAGGAAAAAGATCATAATATGAGAAACGCAATACGGAAAGTTTTAATGATCATTTGGGGATTTTAGAACCAAGCACAAGTGTTTCTTGGCGGACCACCCTTAGTTCAAATGGCAACCGGTGAAGTTACGGATGCAGAGAGTCTTGGAGGGGCTGATATGCATTGCAGAATATCAGGCATGTGTTATGCAAGTGTAATACATATCTTTGGTAACAGCAGCTTATGCTCTTTTGTGTATTTCTATAATCAAAGGCGTATCGGACCAGCTGGCCCAAGATGAACACGATGCTATCAGAAAAGCGCGCGAATTTGTTGCTAATCTGAATTGGAGTAAACAGGGAAAATTACCGAGTAGACATCTATCTCCTATAGTCGAAGAACCGCTATATGATATAGGTAGCCTAATCTCATGCTGTCTGCTAACATTAAAGATTTAAAACAATTTACAAATGTCTTCTTTTTTTTTCTTGGAAAGATGAATTGTTAGGAATAGTACCTGCTAATTTGCGCATTCTTTTTGACGCCAATGAAGTTATCGCGCGTTTGGTTGATGGATCACGATTTACTGCGTTCAAACCTTTGTACGGACCAAATCTCGTCACTGGGTGGGCATATATTCATTGTATGTCGCTTTTATACGTGCTGATATTTTACCTTAAAACGATAATGATTAACGTAATGTACCGTATAGGCATACCTGTTGGTATTCTGGCAAACAATAATGTCCTTTTCACACAAGAGTCTAACAAAGCTACGCAATTCATACAGCTATGTAATATGAAGTATGTATCCTAGTGCTCACTGAATGTTACAATCTTGTCCCAACCCGATACTAACGCTCAGCTATTGTGGTGCTAAGAAATACACCACTGCTTTTTTTACACAATATAACTGGATTTATGGTCGGGAAGAAATACGAAGAGGAAGGGATTATCAAAGCCGGTGCTCGTTTTATTAATGCTGTGAGCAACAGCCAAGTCCCTGCGATATCTATAGTTATGGGTGCTTCATATGGTGCTGGAAACTATGCAATGTGTGGGAGGGCTTATAATCCAAGGTTTAATGTCGATGACTGTCAGAAATGAGCAAATCCTTTTTGAAATATGTTTTGCGATTCTGATTATATTTACTTGCGGCCTTAGGTTTTTATTTTCCTGGCCCAACAGTAGATGTTCCGTTATGGGCCCGGAGCAGTTGTCAGGTGTCATGGATTTTATTATGCGAGAGGCTGCGTCAAGGTAATTGGTCATGTTTAATACTATGAATTTGGCAAAAATCGGCAATCTCACCGGTTTGCTATGACAACGTAGGATGAATAAAGCTGTTGATGAGAAAGCCGCCGAGGCAAGAAGGAATATGATACGAGCAGTCGTTGAAGAAGAGTCAGATGTATATTGGACAAGTTCTCGCCTATTAGATGATGGGATTATTGATCCAAGGATGACTCGGACTATAGTGGGATTCTGTTTAAGCGTTATTTATAATACGGATGTTAGGGGAGGTAATCTCTATGGCGTAAGCCGCATGTGAATGTATGATCAAACAAAAAACATGGGGACTTTTTTTTTAATGCCCGAGCGATAATAAAAATCGAACTTGATTGACGGTTCTTTTTATTTTAATTTAATTATTAAACCGGTATGCAAAACTATATCGGAGGCAACTTATTAGTCAATTTATACTATCCTTCGTATGCATTTGACTTGTGTTTTGGAAGAAACACGAAGCTTGGAGGAGCGGGTCCTAATAACATTTCACTTTTTTCAAACATTCGCCACAAATATAGTCACAAAATTATAGCCAAGTTAGTATTTGCGTAGTCGCACAATGGTTAGCGAATCTGTCAACTAACCTTATTTTTATCCAGTCCTTTGCGCTTGGGCTTGCCATCAACGTTTCTAAGTCATCTCGCCCGTAATAAGGCGGTGGCCTTTCGTTTATACGTTGTGGCAGCACTTCTAATAAACCGATTGGGATATATCTTCAAAAAGATTACAATTGTAAGAATGCAACTGAATTTGTACGTACACATTGTTCCGTTGACTCACAATTGTTGATATATCATCTCTTACCTGTGCAGAAAACTGAGCCATTCACACAAGAATTTGCGTGTAGTATTGACGCCCTGAGTAGTCGCAATGAAAAAATTGAGTCTTAGTAAGGTATATAATAAATGTCAATATATTATGATACCTGCCACGCTGTCAGTTCCCCAATACTCAAGGCCATAATCACAGTATTTTTTCAGTATATCGAATCTTTCTCTTGATGAAATATCCCAATTACGCCTAGTCTTGATCTCTTCGAAAAGCCATGGCTTAACCTTTTTGAACAATAAAATTGTGACGTTATTAATCCTCCGTTGTTATAATCGATTCAATAAGATGCGCAAGTAATATGTGTACTCATAACGAAAGAATAAATTAATTTTATACCAATGCTCCACGTCCAACAAGCACTCCGTCTACATTATGTTCATTCATGTGCTGATAATAATCTTCATAAGATAGCAGGTCACCATTGCCTATAAGGAAAATGACTGTGATGTTAACAACGGAACAGCTCAGCTAATGTAGAAATTCAAATACGTACCAAAGAAATTAATTTTATCGGTTTTTCTGTATTCTTCGATAGTTGAAGAAACTTTAGATATGTAATCCCAGTCAGCCAATTTGGTATACCTTTGTTGACGGCTGCGGCCGTGCAACTAATAAAGTACATTTTAATGAATGTAAATACCCGTTACATGAAAATCTAAGCAAAATAACAGCAATAGTCCTTACCGAAGCCAAAGCTATACCCTGTCATATATAATAGATATTTGCATCGATGAGTTGTTCAAAAATCGATTTCCCCATTAAAAAGAATATATACTCGGCCGAATTTACTAACCCATTTTTCAAGTTTAGGAACAAGCTTTTCGGCAGTTGGTTTCTTGTCGTCAATGCCGGTACGTAACTTTATAGTCACAGGAATGTCGAGAACCTAAATATACAAGTGACGTAAGTTTTCGCTCGTAAAAAATTTCTTTTACAAGTTTATGCGGTAGTTACCCTTTGCATCCCAACGAGCATTTTCCCGAGTTTTCCATGTTCCCTTAATAGAGCACTTCCACCTCCCTGCACATAAAATTATCTTTGATCAGTTCCTTTACTTTACAGTCGAAGTTTCAAACACCTCTCTGTTTCCATTTTGCATACTTTAGAAAAAACAAGGTCTATAGGACATCCAGTATTCAAATCAACAAAATCCACGTCTAATTCATTTCCAATAACCTCTGCACATCTTACGACATGATCCACTTTCGAACCGCAAATCTGTACTCCAAAAATGTCTTCAGACACATGCCGCTTCATCAAGGTCCATTCACTTTTTTGACCTTTCAAGATATTGGTGGCCATTGCCATTTCGCCACAGGTAATGTCCGCTCCAAATTCTTTACATATTCTACGGAATGGAAGATTTCCTACTGTAGTCAATGGGGCCAAGTAGAGTTTGTTTTTAAAGGAAATCTGAAAAGGTGCAAGAGTGCGCAATAGTAAGTATTAAAAATAAAATCACCGATTATATTCTCATTTTCGTTGGAACTTACGCGCTTTTTTTCTGCGGGCTTCAATGGTACGTCTGGAGTATCCGCAAATTGCTCTGCTTCCGCTGCTCTTTGACTTGCTTCTGTCAAGGATGATGACACATTTTCTGCTTCAATTGGTATACCAGATTTTGCCAAAGTAGTATCGGTTGAACCAGCAACATTATTTTCAAGCTCTGATGGATCGAAAAGTTCCAAAAGGAGATTTTTCTTCTTCTTTCTGTTTGCCTCATCCATTTCCTTTCTTGCATCTATAGTTTGTTGAACTTCTTTCAGATACGGTTCTGATTTCGGAAATTTGTACTAGAGTTACATCAGGCGTGTGTCATAACATTGACATATCGATTTTCTAAGATATGATCATCGATCTGTTTGTGACTCTACCTTAAAAGTCCTTAGTTGTTTATATGTATCTAATGGTATGTTTGAATTAATCTCTGTGACTATATTTTTTTCAGCAAGCTGTTACAAATCGGACATGTCAATGCATTGGAGAAAACGGTAAAAAAAAAAATTCGTTTCAAGTATTATTCGCACATACTTCTTTGTTCACAAGCAGCTTTCCATCTGAACTAATGTGAGCCTTGAGATATCTGCACTTGTACCCGTAGCGGCATCTGCCATATTAACAAATCAGCTAAATGCTTACTTGATAATCAAACATATAATCAAATTTAACCTACTTTCCAAACGTCTCATAGTTAACGCATCGATCGCCCAAGTCTTCAGCTTTGTCTTTCATATACGCTGCAAGATCATGACTACTCCTGCATCTGTGAGCATGAAATCAATTACGATTAGCATGGTATATATAATCCCATTATAAGCGTAATGGCAATAAACTCACGCGTTGTTTGGGCATTCTTCTCCTTGTGCTGTCCACAAACAAAGCTGCAAGATATTTAATTAACATCATCCACATACTCAAAAACATTTTACATCTACAAATAAGCAAACTAGACTCTACCCTAATATTTTCTGAAAATGTCTTCACAAGATGCTCTTTGGCTTGTCCTCTTTGACGAGTTACCAGGGTCTTCTTCTTGGGAGGTTCCTAAATATCCAATGAAAAAAAGTTTATGTTACAAAGGAAATGTGATTTTTAACAATGTCGATGAATTGTATCAATTACCACCGCGGCGTCATCCCCAAATACGGTCTCATCCGTAAGGCGTTCCTCTTGAGGCGCTTTTATTAAATATCTTTTAATTCCCAAGCGATCAATATAAGGTTTAACTAAATCGCAGACTGTTATAAAAAAAACGCCATATTAAGCACGTACTCGGATTTTATAGGGGCTACTCCCTTCCTGTCAGACGGCGCGGCTCTCTTCAACTGATTTAGCTCAGGTGTAGTTGAACGTTCTGTGTCACTTGCGCCAGAGATCGTTGACTCCATCATGAAAGTCTTTCTTCACCCTGAGCAAATATTAAGCATAATTAACAACATTCCAGGGGCTACAGATGTTACGCCACAATTATTTTAGGGGCCGTCATGATTAATGTGATGCCGATTATCGAAAAATCATGTGATTGATTATTTATTTATACAGTATTAGAATAGTAATGGGCTTTCGAAGAAATCGAATCTGTAAGCAGCGATATTACTTTTGATGCTATCATCACTTCACGTTCATCGGTCGACACACATTGTGAAAGAATTTCATTAATCACATTGAGGGCCTGCCCTTTGGCAAAGAATCAATGCCAAAAGCTTCCAAAGTTCGAGTCGGACAATCTATATCAAATATCAACTTAACACTGAAAAATATAACAATGGATTATTTGTCACAGTAATCATTCTTGACAAGGTTCAACAGGCGAACCGAGATTCCCACTTGAAAGAGCAAAAAGTAAAAAAAATAATTAGTGAATGGAGTTTATAATTGAGAGGTTACCTGGAATGGGGATATTACATGTATATGGGGGAAGTCGATTAAAGCTCTAGGTGTTGGTGATGGCATTGATTACATGAAACGGCAAATTCTGACCGAGTTTCAAATAAAAAAGGGGGATCCGAGAAGTAGATGCGAATAATTTTGTTGAAAGTTTTAATAGTGTTGTCCGGCGCAGATTCTTATAATGGCAATTCCATTACTTGAGCGCCATCTTCAGTGACCTCTAAAACCTTTACTACGGTATCTATTTCTTCCTTTGCAAAAGCTATTGTTATAGACTCGGCAATATGATCAAAGTTATCATACGCCAATGCTAGTATAGTTGGCCCAGCTCCACTGAGACATATGCCGAGCAACCCTGGGTGTGTCTGCGGCTTGACGCTTGAAAGAATGTGAGGCAGTCCCGGGATCTACATATGAAGAAGATACAAATATTCAATACGAAAGTAGTTGAACATGCATTAAATAAATCTTATTCGTACATACGAGATGTTTTCTATACGGCTGATGTATTCGATCTTGCATTGCCTGGAAGATTAAATCCGCATTCGGAGGGGATGCAGACAAGGCAGTTGTCAATACCGCGAGTCGCTGCAGATTAAACACCTGATATATCAAAGCGATATTGTTAGAAAAAGTCATATGGATAGCCAGCTATGTAATTGCAACATTGAAGACGATCACACGTGCGCTTACCACATCATCTCTTGTATATGCTTCGGGAAGCACACTTCTAGCAGTGACCGTAGCAACCTCAAACTGAGGAATGATAGCGATTGCTTTTATTTCCTTTGCCCATTTTAGTCTTACATAATGCCCAATTCCCTCAGGAACTTTGGGAGGATGATCGCTCGTTTTCCGCACTTCTTTCGCATCCAACGTCTCAGAATGAGGTATCGAGGGGGCATCGGTATCCTTTGGATCCAAGGTTCTCAAATATGCAGCCACAAAGCCGCCTATCAAAGCTGCTGTCACATTGTCCGGGTGTTTCTCAATTATTAAACAGAAATCAAGTATCCTGTCTCTAGTCATATTCAAGTTCCCGACAACGTCACCTAAAAGAACACCAGCCACTACAGCAGCACCGGATGAACCTAGACCTCGCCCCATTGGTATCGAATTATCAACGTGAATCTTTAATGGCGCTGGAAAACCTTCGATGTCATGACAAGCCAAAACATAAAGAGCAGATTTTGTTATAAGGTTCTCTTCGACTGATATCGAAACTTTTTCTGCTCCCTCTCCAGAATAAATTATTGTTACATGATTGTCATTATTAGATGCTTGCGGCTTGTATATTTCGACGTTAAGTACAAGATGCATTGATAATGTCAAGCCAAGAACATCAAAGCCCGGCCCGATATTCGACGAAGAGCATGGGACTTTGATTTGGATTCTTCGCTCAACGTCCATTCCATTAATCAGGGTTGCGCGTTGATGATAAATTTGAAAAAAGAAACCTACATTTCTGTGTAATATAGGGCTTGTTGCAACCAACGCCACACGCTGTATTTCAGGGGCAATCAAGTGCCACAGATTCATTTCTACCCCGCATTTTAAGTTAAATAAAAAGAAATAAATGTGTTAGTAAGAGTGACTCTTACTGTATGTATTAGTTATTTTCTTTGTCAGCGCATTACGACATTTGGTGTGGCTTACAATGCTTGCATTATTACCAACTATAATTATAGGCATCTGAATGATCGACGTGATGTCTTATATTTGATGAATATTATTCAGTGTAGATGGATGGCAATGTATATAATGCATCTCCCTATACAGACCGATTCTTGCGCACCGTTCGTTTATTTGTTTGTACAGACAACCTCTTATAAATTCTCCATGTTAATATTGTAAATTGCTAATAAAAATTCTCTATACCAGAAAACACGTAGTTAACAATATAAATTTATTCTATTCTTTCTGTCACTTTCATTTATACATCTCTTGCGTACAAAAAAAAACAGTTCATGGCTGAAGAGATAATTGTGGAAATTACGTTAATATTAGACTGCTTTGAGAAGAGTAAAATAGTAAAATAAATATAGATTTTATAAATTTATATAATTTCACATTACGTAAAATGTAGTCTAGAGCTGGAAGCGGAACCGAAGAGCAAATTGAAGCACAGTTTGAAATCTTTCAAGAGCGGCTCAACGCTACTAAAAAGGGAGTGACAGCAACCTGATATTAAGTGATTTCTGAGATACTGACATAGAGTAGTTGACGATTATTTCGCGGCTCTGCCGAAATCTAAGTCTAAAACCCTTTAAAAAGCATTGTTATTATTAAATTAATTTTAAAGGTATACAATAAATGGTTTAATAATAACTTAAAGCCTGAAATGCGTTTCCTAAATGACCTAATTAACGACAAATGAACTCAACAGTCCTTGTCAAATAATAACGGTCAAACAAATTGACTGTGTGTAAATGTCGAGCCAGCGGGCAATTGATTACTGACTCTAGAAATTTAGCTGCTCTTTCTCTAGTGGTTCTCTTAGTCGTCGTTAAACAATAGTGACCTTTAATGCTACTGACAACATTAGCTTCTATGTAGAAACACTGATTTTGGTCCAATGTTCTACCGGTGGAATTAGATTGGTAGTCTGCTTTATCATAATCTTATCTTTTCCTAATTTAGATTGTTTTGGTTATTTGAATTTGTGCGTTGAACAATTTCAGCTTTAGTAATATAGCAATACGAACATGTAAATTGAGTAAAATTATTATTTAGTAAAATGTATGAAAAAACCGCCGAAATATTAATTATTGTAAGATTAATTGTTGGAAGACTCGTGCGAAAAAAAGCATAATATTGTTGTAGGCAGATAATGGAAAAATGAATGAGTGAATTAGTAATAAATAAATGAATGAGTGAATGACTGCGGGTATTGCGTAAATCATAGTTTAATAGACAACATTAGCGTTTAGTTTATACTGTATGTATATTCTTGTTTCGTGAGAAAGACGTCAGATTTACGTCGATTTATTAATAAAAAAAAAAGAATTGACGTGTAATATATAATAATAACAAATCAGCGCAGTCTGGCTATGACATCTAAACTTTATTACTACCCCTGAAATTATCGTCAAATTATATAACTTTTAATATTTAATGATAATAATAAAACTGCGAAAAACGCTTACAAACAGACTTTTTTATTATTCAGAAAAAACGCAAGCTGTAGACTTTAGTTTACTTTTCTCTTAAAACTGAAATGAGTAGTCAGGGATTCTTACTAAGTGTATTCCATCTATTCGCTTGTGCTATCGGCAGCCCGAGTATTATTCTTTATCATGTTATAAATTGTTGTTAGGGCAAGTGAGATACTGCATGCGACAAATTCGTTGACTGATAAATAAGAAAATACAAATAAAACGTCTGTGCGTTACTGTATGTCTAAACAACACAATATTGGTTGTAAATAATTACCAAAAAATGCGATTAACTGTTGGTCAACGTTTGAGTTATATTCCTTTAATTTCAATCGATTACCTGGCCTGGTTGAGGGCATGACTAAAAACCCCTGTATTATGCATGCATACAGCTGTTAAAAAACAAGTAAATTTCCTATAACCGATACCGCGATACTCAATCATATCATCGTTGTGCAACAGATGACTTACGTCATACAGCAAATTGGTTAGATCCGAAAAGGTTACGAGAAAAATGTGCAAGAAAAAGATGATATAACATAAAATAATAATCGATCTTCCACAATATCCCTACTATAACAGTCGTTTGCATTCCGAAAATGGTTTGTCATAAACAATATTTTACACTAAATTGAGGATAGTAGTAGACCATATGTGTCAAAAATGTCACGCAATTTTAAAAAGTTGTCTAAATAGAAATTTTGACCTCGCCACAATACCCTTTTTCTTATATACCTCAATAATCTCTGCATTCAATATTGCAGCTAGCTAACTTTTAATATTTAGCGACAATAAGAAAGCAAGTTTGAGAAGCGACATGCAAGCAAACTTTTTATTATTCAGGAAAAAATAACGCAAGTTGTAGAATGTAATTATTATTATCATGACAAGTAAAATATTGTAGTACATTCGCTGACTTATAAACAAGGGATGATACAATGATGTCTGTCTGTTATGTTTAAACAACAATGGTTGTAAATAATTACCAGAAAAAGGTAATTGACCGTTGGTCAGTGTTTATGAGTTTTATCACTTTAATCTCAACAGCTTGGGATCGATTACTTGGTTGAGAACATGTCTAAAATTGCCTGTATTATACATGCATATAACTGTTAACGAACAAGACAAGTAACTTCTCTATATCTATCAGGACGCGATATTCAATGATATCACTGCTTGGCGTAATACAGTAGTATGCAACGGTTCACACATCTATAAAAGGCATGAGTAAGTACGATGTAACAAATATTCTCACTTGACCCTTGGAACTGACGACATGGACATGCGTTGTGATAATCCAAGCATTGAAAACTTGATTTTATCAAATGAAGATGATAAAAGACTTGAATGGATTCCTGGCTGGCAGATTACCGATATAGAGCCAACTCAAGTTGACAACGTCTACTACGCTGGTGGTTATACATTACTACTACTTGGAAACGGTAAAACATGTACGCCAACACTTGTGAGTGAGTTTGCCAGAATATACTCATTTCCAACACACAAGCACAGCAATGACTTTAATCATTTTAGAAGATATTCCAAATGGCTTTATCGTCGCAACAAACTCATAACAGGGTTTACCAAGTATAACGATAACTACTACATGGTCGCAGATAAACTCTTTTATCATTACTATTCTCGCTATGGATTCTGCGCTGCATGTGGACTACTCCGATGTAGTCCCGTGTGGTGCATATGCGGACACAAACAATTATGCGATGGATGGACTAGTAATAATAGGCAACTCGATGAGCTCATAAAGAAGACTCAATTACAAACAAATTCAGCAAATCATGCCTATTTGGAATGGATTCCATTCGATTGTATTGGGGACTGGGGAAATGGATATGGAGGGTTATATGGTCTACCTACTCTAGCTCTTTCTACTCGTGCTAAATTGATTTCACTTGAGATAACAGACGAGACAAATGATTTATATTATGCCGAGGTAAATTATTTACTTATCTTCATGTTTATTGAATGGTTTAAATAATTATTGACTTATCATATATTATTAGTTATGTGATAATCATCCAGATATTCTTAACACGGATGTTTGGATTACCATCGGATTTACATACAACGCAAGCAAACGAAAGTATTGTCTAATAAAAGAATATCATGAGTATGGATTATGCCGGGCGTGTGCATGTGAGTTAGAATTCAAGATAAATGCATTCTGCTATTGGTGTAAAGCACCAATACCTCCTGATTGGACCACGGGTAACAGGTCATTGGATTCATTTATTATGGAATCATGGAATAATGTAAAGAAAAAGAATGATCCCTATATACAATGGGTAGAGTATTCTCTATTGACGGATGTGCGAGAAATGACCTCATTACGTCATACAGCAAACTGGTTAGATCCGAGAGCAGATGAATTGAAACAAGTGTTGCTCAAAAAAATAGTTGATGGACAAGCTGATCAGTTTGATTTCTATCAGGTAAATCATTCACATGTTAATACAATTGAGTATACGCTGTAATAATTGTATTGATTATTCAAATAGCTAATTAAGGAACACCCAGAAATATTAACCCCTGAGAATATTTGGATAATTGGAATCACTCAGGAACCATCTACTGGGGAATATTATTTAGTTTTCTTCTATGACATACATACAATATCGGACAAATTTATACATCGTGTACAGTATATGCAATATGACGACTTCTATGAACTCGAAGAGATCGGATCTGGTGGTTATGGAACGATTTATACTTCCAAATATAAAGGCGACAATAAAAATGTGCCGGGAATCGTTGTGCTTAAACGTTTTAATAAGATGCCGGAATTACTTATGTCCGAAGTAAGCATGTTTTTTTTATATTATTAACTAACGCCATATTTAATCTGACCCCGTTTCTATTTTTATTTCTACAGTTTATGAATCATAGCAAATGTTTATCTTTTAATTTCCTTCGACTTTATGGAGTCACGCAAGCCCCAAACACAAAAGAATACATGATTGTTATGCAATTTGCTAACAACGGTAGCCTTTGGTCTTATTTGCATCAAAACATGAACAGCTTGACATGGAGAAGGAAATTACAACATCTGGAGGATATCGCGTACTATCTGAAAGATATTCATAACGTGGAGTTGGTGCATTGTGATCTTCATGGCGGGAACATAGTTATGCATGACAATAAGCATAAGATAGAATCATTTATTTGCGATCTTGGTCTCTCTCGATCGGTAAATTCACCAGGGTCAGCTGTTCAAGGTGTTTTACCATTTATTGCGCCGGAAGTCTTTCATACTTGCAAATTTACTCAGAAATCAGATATATATTCTTTTGGTATTATCATGTATTTAATTGCTACCGGTGAACCACCTTTTAGAGATACAGAATTTGATAGAATTTTAGTATGCGATATTATGGGTGGACTACGGCCAAAGATGCCTGACTCGGCGCCAGAAGAATACAAGAAACTTGCTGAATGGTGTTGTGATGCTGATCCTGACAAACGTCCGGATGTATTCTCACTTTGGCCTTATATTTATAATCTTGGGAAAGAGTTGGATAAGGGTAATTATGATGACGTGTGGAATACCATTTATCATAATAATGTAAAACCTTTATCGCGTCTCGAAAAAGAGAGTAAATACTCTAGTAAGATATTACCTACTGGAGATTTGCCCAAACCGAAAAACAGTTATGATCTGGATTCGGCTCCAGGTATGATCGACAACAATTGCTTACGCGTATATATTCGGAAATTAACTTGTCTATTGCTTATAACTTAGTGACACAAAATGTTGAATGAACGGGCTTACTATTACGCGACGCGAGTTGTCAAGGGATACCTAAATACGACGATATACTTGATATGAATAAAATTCTCGGTCGATGTGGTCAGTTGGTATTAGAAGTTACAAATCGGCGGTAAGCAGATAGTGTTTGCATATGTAAAAAAACATTGATAGTTTAAATTCGTAATAAAAAATGATTAAAAGCAATTGATGCTGACCAATCTGAATGTCACATATAGCTGAATTACTTTTCAATAAGAGTAATGAAAAATTTTTGTTTGAGCGTAGAAGTTATGTCAGTTGTAGAGTTTGTCGACTATGCTCTTTAATTGTCGTTCTACATATTAATATATGTTAGATATCGAATGCTGGTTGTACAATATTCTGTAAGTTGAAGACTAATAGCTTAAGCATTAAACCATCAGCTAGTGGAGCTGAGAATTTGAATTCGGTAAAACTATTTATTAGTAGCTGCTGTTTACTGTGAAAGAGACTTGATTCTAAGGAATTTCTGATTATAATAAAATTTTTTTCAGTTTCGTATTATTCGTTATGAAATTAGATCCATCACTTGGACGATGAAAGAAACATTTGTCTAATGATGAACAATGAATATTTATTATAAATACAGCACCAGCTAACTTACTTTAAAAATCAACCACAATGCAATAAATACCATTGAAACAATACATCATTAAAACAAATCTGTCAACAACACTACGAAAACACAAGCAAATTTTTTTTAGAGTAATTATTGGCTTTGTGCTCAGCCTGTTAATAAATGGCATAATTTGTAACAGTACAACATGGGACTTCTGACCAAGACTATGAAGTCCAAAAAAACGAAGCCATCAGCGAACAAAATTTATTTACCGGATATCGGAAAGTTGTGGAGACAGTTATATAAAAGAACCGAGTCTTTTCATTTAACAAAATGGGCATTCAAATTTATTAATTATAATGTAATCGTACGGCACTGCGTAGTAGAATTGTGCAACAACACCATGTTAACTGTGCATTATTATTATTATGTAATCGGGTTCTCGCGACACGTTAAACAAAGTGAAATTGAACAAAAAAAAGCTCATGGTTTTGAATCTACCGTATGCCATTTTTTTCGATAATAAAAGAATAGCCTTAATCGCCCGTATTTATATTTTCACAATTTTGAATTGGACGAGGGAACGAGATGCATAATGAAAGGAACAAAAATATAAGAGTCGAGAATGCACATATCGAGAATTCAACAGCCGCAGTCAGTAAGCCCGACTGAAGCTCTTGACAACATTACACCGATAAAGAAAAATATTTCACTATTTAATAAATTTGTTTGCCGATATTAATCTTACGTTGCACAAATTATTAAATCATGTGATTAAGATAAAATTTTTTTGGAATTTACAGAATTTTACAGAATTTACTATTACCGAAAGATGGTTGGTGTTTAATCAACATGCTTGTTAGCATTATTTCCGAATACGATCTAGTAGCGAGATAGAATTAATACGGTTTCGTTCCTTCGACAGCCGAAAGTTAGACGGGAGCGCAACAAGTTGCATCACCGACCATTTGCCGTGCCACGGAATGAAGTCCTCGAGCGCGTTACGCCCGGTTCAGCGACCGACCAAAACGTAGGATGCTTGATTCGAGGGGCATAATGTGTTCTCAGTCATGTTCTAATATATATATGTGCACCATAAGGAGCCAGATCTCTTACAGAAGAACGCCAGGTCAATGCTGTTTGGGCCGTTTCAGCAATCAAAAAAAGCCAAACTAAAAGAACGTCATGAAAAATGGATAGAAAGTACGTATTCTCCGTAATGTTACTGTTTTAATTCTCTCCTGATTACATTGTTTTTAAACTGATTACTATGATTGATTAGAATTGGAGGCAGTGTATAAAGCAAAACAAAATAACGAAACTAAAGCGAAAACTAAAAAGGAAAAGAAAAAGGAGTCTAACATAACAGTCGATCTGTCTTCCTTTAATGAAATTCTTTCGAACGTACCTGATAATACAAACGCTGATGCAAAGTCAAAAGACGTCGAAGCAAGCAAGAGTCCGAATCCCAAGGGTAATAAAGCGGGAAAGCGCGCTGCGTATGTATCATAGGTCACAACTCATGTTAACGTGCCGTTTGATAAGTATTTAAATCTTTAGTGTTTGTTGGCAAACAGTGTCGCTGAGATGCAACGGTTCCGTGAAGTGCTCCGGCATCCTGCATTTAAAGCAGACGCTCTGTCTACGATACAGACCCACATGAAGAACACTCTTCAGATGAAACAGAATACAGTAGAAACGCATGGAAAGACTATGGATGTTGATTGAAAATTACGAGAAAGACTATTTTGACCGTTCAATAATTTATAATCGAGAGCATATGTCAGTATGTATAATGATAGTATTTCTATTTATGAACAACGTTGCCCTGAACGGTTGTATTCAACGGTTTAATATCTACAAGATCAAAACTAATTTTACTGTAAACCGATTACAGGAAGGTATGCTGCCTGAAAACAGTTGATTTAACTTGTAGCGTTTTTTTCTTATTGAGTAGCGTCTTGTAAGTAATAATATTTGTTAAATCCTTTTAGGCATTAGAATTTTATTATAATTGGATAATCAGACCTGTGGAGGTTAGTTGCTTATTCGAAGCTCATATTACGTTATTCGATGTTGGGAAATTGCGGACTGTGATTATTATTCGATCTATCAATTCTAAAGGACAGCGAAGTTGGAGAGCGTTAGTAAAGTGAGACGTGTGTTAAAGAAAGCGGGCCTGGCTGTTCTAGAGTATAGTTTATGACAACGACGTCAACGTTTTTGAACCCGGGAATAGAGATGTCGCATGATTATTGTACCTCATAGTCATAGTGCATGGGAGAATACGTCACATGTAAATCGCGTTAAATTATACGATTATAAAGCAATTGTGATTTAATCATACTGTGTTGCCTTATATCATTGACTGATTCTAACCAGGTCGTTCGAGTGAAGAAATTACGTCTGCTATGCATCATCATGCTCAGATATCGGATGGATGTGGAGATTTTCTTGATCACGATGGGCGCAATGAAATTGTTGTCTATAAGAAATTTTTTCAAAATTAGCCAACACACCGGCAGCATACTGTAGTTTGAGTCGATAACAATTTACTTGCTGCAGAGTCTCGGGATGCTTCTTAATGACAAGCTAATCAGTTAAACGAGTTTCCTTCTATTAACAAAAGCGTTCATTAATGTTTATAGGTCCACAAATCAACAACAGTTATTCACTGTATACATCGTCTTTTTAAACGAATTGCGTCTTTATCAAAGCAAAAGAGGGCGCTCAGTCAGATTGCACTCTGTCTCTTTATGTGATATTTAACGAAAATTGTCTTTTGAACTGTAGACTCAGTCTTACGCACTGAGTGGCCGTTATAAAGTGTTCTTTGATTTAGCCTGCTAAACATACTAGCACAAATCGCATTAATTTAGTCGTGCATCCGGTATGTCAGATCGGGATTATATACTTTGACATAAATATCACTCTGCTTCTATGTAACTAAGTAATATTCGCCAGCTCAATTTTATACACTTGAATGAAAATAATCAACGAGATTGTAATTAGAGAGAATTTATTTGCTTGAACGTTGATAAGAAACAGTTTCCGAATTTGATCGAACGAATATACATTCTAGTTTACCATACAATGTGAAAATCACCTGATTATAATCTTTGTTTTTATTTGAAATGGTAGGAAAAAGCGTAAGACGCGTTTACGATGCATAAATAAAATTTGTTACGCCCAGTTGCATTAAAAATTTATAGCGTGACAGACATACGGGCGGCGACGCTATAACAAAGCGTTAATCTCTCTATCAATGAGCGATCAATTTCGTCTATTAATTTGCTGGGTTTAATCTTCCAGTTGCTATTTAATTGTCATTAAACTTGTCTAATATAGTATGTATAAGCTTTACTTTACTAAAACAAAATAGTAGTAAACGTCGAGGGTACATAGCAAGCCCGAACAATGGGTACCGTAATGATAAACTCTAGTCACTAACGCGCAATTTTAGATACATTCTACGAAAACGGCGGAATATTGTTGTATAGTTATGCGCGTAACCACACAGATCGATAGAAATCTTAACATTTTAGTTTTATATATTATATTATTATTGGGCAGTAGTTATTGTCGCGGCTGATGCTCATACGACATACTGTAAGTCAAGAACTAGTAGTTTAAGCATTATAATAAAATGAACTATAAGTTGTGAGATACTCTCTACTGTGAAAGAACCTTTTCTTTTCAGTTCCGTAGCATTGTTGGTTAGGCTCGTGTGTACAAAAATGAACGGATACTGTCAATCAACACTTCAAATAGAGTGGGGTTTTCTTAGATATAACGACTTGTCGACTAAGCATGATTACTCAAGATCTTGTAAACACAGATTTTGGTTAATTATTCGTCTGACCATTTCTTCGGTGGAACTATTCCAGAAGCTTTGAGGTTGAATTATACTTACATCTATCACAATCGCGCATTTATTTTAAAGCAAATAACAATAAAACTTTTACAGTATAAACAACGGATAGATATTTCTAGTTAATATATGGGCATGTTTTTACTTGACAAAAACTTTGGTAATATAATATATTAATTGGTAATATTAACTGACAATGTTTTCGCATTTTCTGAAACACAAATCTACGTTCTATTTTTTGTCGCGTATGTTGCGGGACGTCCTTTGGGTGAGTAGCTTTATCAAACATGTTAGATGCGTATTAAGTATTCCAAGGTTATAGAAATTATTTTTTTTATTATTACTCCTGTTTAGATAACTCGTGTTAAATTTTCAATAGTAAATAGATTTAATTTGCATTATAGTCGATCTTTTCTATGCAAAATTGGTGACTGTATAAGAGGGTTGTGTATGGTTTGCGATTAAAAAATGTATTATAATTATATAATATGCCAAATTTTATTACATAAGAAAATTAACTCAATTTGAAAGGCAACATCAGCATTAGTTTTTTAACAACAATGACATTACAATAACTTTTAAATTAATCTCCATAGAAAGTGTAAACCACTTACTAATGTTGTAATAAGTAAAATATTAAGCATTAAACGGATAGTACATTATGCTGTGGGTGCTGCTTAACATTTAACAATTTTCGTTTATTATCTAGACCTATCAAGGTCTTATTTTAAATAAAATGCTTTTTGGATATTGCCATATAATGAGGAGGATACAGTTACGCGCACTTTTTAATCTTTTAGCGATCCGATCTTATGCTGAATATCGGACATGGAAATGGCAAATATTAAATTATGAATGTTACAAGATACCAATAACGTAAAGGAATGAGCTTTATTAAGAATTGGATGAGAAGACTCACACATGACTATGACTAGTCGAGATCGAAAACTTTGTAAGACTGCATAAAATGTAGCCGCAGAGGAAATAGACAGTATAGGAGATCGATTATAGTAATCCTTGTTAACTGTTTTGAAAGCCTTTTTTGCATCATTTGCAAGCTGAGCAGTGCGGTAAATAAACTTTTGCAACATTCTATTAAACAAGAAAAAAAGCTCACAATTTTCAATGATAAAAGATCAGTTTGCTTTGTTCTTATCGCCTATATTTCCTTGGGATAATACACGATAATAAAAAAAAACATGTATAATAATTAGTCGAGAAATGCACAGGGTTGAGAATCTTAAATGTAGTTGGTAAACCCGACTGAAGCTTTTGATAATATTACACGGACAAAAGTCTGTTGATGATTTTATCAAATACTTGTACCTAATTAACCGTGATTAAAAGCGATTGATAAGGAAAAAGGGGTTATTGTGGCAAACAATGAGTGTTGTCAATCTACTGCAAATATTATTGTATAGTAAATTTCCCTTCCTCTGACGCACGATACATTTCTTCTTTCTTTTAAATACCTGTACATTTTTTGGATCAATCTCTAACAGTTGAGACCTTGTGATGCGGCATCATACCGATTGAGCTCTTTTTAAATATCTATTCTTACACTCAATGTCCACACATTAACTCTAGTACCTATTGAGATTACGCAACGCACTATAGCAATTCTTTAATTTGTAATATACATCTCTTTTGCTCAACGCCCACGCATCATTTGGTTCAATCTCCAATGATTTGCTAAAACCATTCACCGCGTCATTATACCTGCCATTTATGTAATAAACGTATCCTCTTACACCCAAAACCCATGTATTATTCGGGCTTGATTTCACGAGATTGCCCAACGCGTTGCTATACTTTTGAGTCTCATAATGAACAGCACCTCTTTTGCTTAACGCCCATTTGGTTTAATCTCCGATAACTTGTTGAAATAGTTCAAAGCATTGTCAAACTTTCTGATTTTGTAATTAAACAGCTCCCATTCTACTCAGTGTCTGGTTTGATTTTTAGCGCATGGTTTAGATTTTTAATGCCTAATCTCGTATACATTGAGTTGGTAATAGACTTTACCATTTCCACTCAATGCGTTTGCATTGTTTGGCTCGATTGCTAAAGACTGATCGAGATCGGTTATTATTATGGCGCTTTCATACAAGTCAAATAGACAGTAGACCTTTCCTCTTCTGCTTAATGACCATAAATTATGTGGTTCATTCTCCAACAATTTGTTAGAATCCTGTAAAGCATTATTGTATTGATTGAGCATGCGATATACATCTCCTCTCTTTTTAACGCAAAAACGTTATTCAGTTCGGCCTCCAATAAACCGTTTAAATAGGTCAAGGCATTGTTGTATTTGTTAAGCTTGCAATATACATCTCCTCTTTTGCTCAACGCCCACGCATTGTTTGGTTTGATTTTTAACTATTTACTGTGATCACGCAATGCGTTATCATAATCCTTGAGCCAGTTTATATAAAACACTCTCTTCCTTTTAGATGCAGGCTCATCGTTTTTAAAATAAACAGCTATCTGTAATTTTTTAGTAACATTAATGAGTCAGTGAAAACTCTAACAATAATCCGGTGCAATAATGCTAATGATAGACGAACAGTCATCACAATCCATCCAAGAATACTAATAAAAAATGTTGTGACAACGACTTGCGTTAGTATTTATAATAAATTTCTTACCAGCGACATTAGTTGCATAATTATTTTTATGAGTATTATTGTTATAGTGACCGAAAAGCATGATAAAAAAGATCACGAGAAAAATGTGCAAGAAAAAAAGATGATATAACTATGAAATAACAATATCCCCACTATAACAGTCGTTTGCATTCCGAAGTGGTTTGTCATAATAATAAATAATATAGTATCTTTAAATTGAGCGTAGACCA